AGTAAAATAGTGAAGCCAGTGTGACGCTTTGCCAGTGCTTTGCATTTTAGTGTCTGTTCCTGATCAGCCTGCTGTTATCTGTTGTTAGGGAAGGGCAAATGGTTGCTCCGTGCACTAGTTCTGTGTTTTATACTTGCACTCAGTGGGAGAAAAAGGGTGGCATATATTTCTCCATCATACTGGAACTGGAGCCCCTTGATAATTTTTTTGTTGAGATTTTTATGTATGTTTTTTGAATGAAAATGAAAAACAGGCTGTAATTTTATTTTCTAACAATCTTTATTTTGATTTGGTATGACAATTGCAATATCCAGGAATAATGGGTGGCGGAATGTTCCTTTTTCATTCTGTGGAAAAGGTCTATGTTTTTGGTGGACATTGTTTGTATAGTGTCTTTGATTTTGCTGTCAGTGTCATGCCAACCTCATAGAATGGGTTGGGTTCCTCCAGCAGATCCTGAAGATAGTGTAGGATTAGCATTATTTCTTAGAAGTTTGATAGAATTTATTAATAAACCCACCTATGGCTAGGTTTTCTCTTTTCCCTTGTCATTTAATTTTGGTAGATTTTTTTTTGCTGCATCTTTAAGGTCTTCTTTTGCCATTTCTAATCAGATATTAATCTTTCAAAATGAAATTTTTGTTTGATGGTATTTTGTGATGCTGCCTCTGTGAGTTCCGCTTTGTTTATTTTTTAGCGTCTTCCATTCTCTCCTCATACTTGGTTTCCATTCTCGAGCATATGAGGCCTGTTGATAAAAGCTGGTTTAGTGTCCAGTCTTTTCCCTTGTATCATCTCTGCTGTTCTCTGCGTCTGCGCCTTGATTTTTCTCCTGCTTATGATTCACATTTCCCCGCGTTTTTGTGTCCCTCACACATTTTTATTGGATGCCCATATTGTGATTTTGTTGTTGTTGCTGAGAGCTGGATTTTTCCATAGTGCTTCAGCAAGTGTTGAACTGGTTTTTTTTTTGGCCTGGTAGTTAAGTTAGCCGTGGATCATTTGATTCTGTTGAGACTTATTTGTCAGCTCTTTTAGGGATGGTCTAGAATAGCATTTGTTCTAGGCTTCATTTAGCCCTGCTCCTCCTAAAGGTTTGCTCTGCTCTGCTCTCTGCTGAGTGTGTGATAGTACACTGAGGCCTTGGGGCTCTGGTGAGAGGGAACGCAGTTTACCCCAGGCTCTCCCTGAGCTCTGCTAGTTGTATTGCAGCTCCTCTGTAATTGTTTTTTTCTTTGAAAGTTGTCCTTGTCCAGCCTTACGGGGTGTTAACACCACAGTTACACAGATTGGGTATCTGGATGCCATGTGCAGATTTCTGGAACCCTCTCCCTGTATAGCTGCCCCCTCTCACGTACTCGGTCCCATAATTTCTAGCCTCCATCAGCCTCCTGGACTGAGGATTTCTGTCTCCCCTTTTCTGCACAATTGCTAGTCTATAAGTTCCACTCTCTGCTTCAGTTCCTAACTAACTCCATGCAAAAAGCCTTTGTGATGCTAGGGTTCACCTTGTTTACTCCTCTTTGTTCAGGGGTTACAGTCACATCCTGCCCTGCCTGTGGTCCAGTGTCTGATAGGGGTGGTTTCTTACATTTTGTGTGGTTTTCTAGTTGTTTATGGCCGAAGGGTAATTTTGAACCTTCTTACTCTGATGTGGCTTTAAGTAGATGTCTTCTATGTTATTTTAGGAACTCAAATTAGTTTTAATTTATAAGAGTAATATGGAACATTGGATTTTTGATGGGAAATTATTTTACTTCGAATTTCTTTGCAACAAGGTAAATCAAAACCAAAGAAAGATTAAAATAAATAACCTTTATGTTGTCATTTGTAATTAGACTATAAAGTTCTATTACAAACCCAAACTGGAAACATCTGAATGCAATATAGAAATACAAAATGTATACATCTATTTTGCCATTTGAATATGGAAATTGGAAGCTGATGTAGGTCTGACAAGTACGACTATTATCTTTTGCATTCAGAAAAAAACAAATTCAGGGTTTGATTAGTCAGAACAGTCCCATAGTAGAAGCCGGTGGGCAGCGGGAACGCCATGACTAAAATATGGGAAACTTGAAAATGACACGATGTTGATAATTGGTCTATTGACCAAAAGGAAAAGAACTCTGATGATTGGTGAATGTAAGAAAACGTGTCTCGGGGCCGGCCGAGTGGCGCGATGGTTAAGAACTCGCTTGGGATGCCAGAGGGCCCCGGTTCGGATCCCACATATGAGGGCCAGTGACACTGCCCTCTACAGCTAAGATGCTGAACAACAGCTCAACCTGGAGCTGGGCTGCCATGAGTCGCCGGCGACGGCGTGGGCTGCAGTCCCTGTGGCAGTGGATTGCCATGGGCTACCGTGTGTGGCCAGCAGCCAGCGTGAGCGGCCAGCAGCCGCAGTGAGCGGCCGTCCAGAAGCCGGCGACTGATCTGCCTCGCCAGAGAAGAGCGCAATGATGGTGCCAACATGGGCCAGTGAAGCAACATCCTCCACAACTAGATTGAAGAACAAAACGACAGCAACTTGTCTGTTCCCCTTCCCCCAATTCCCCAGCAAAAAAAAAAAAAAAGAAAAAAAAAGAAAACGTGTCTCATTGGTGCCAAAACCAAGACTAGAAATAATAAGAAGGAAGAAAAGCAAAGCAAAAATTAAAAATTTCTTTTTGAGGAATAAGTACCACAGTGCAGACAACTGACATATTGAGATATATGTGCACCAGATGAGACAAGTTTGACATAAAGCCAGTTGTGCCCAAAACAATAACTTAGCAGCGGCCAGGACAGTGGAGAGAGAAACTTAGAAAGTTTCTGCCTTGGTTTAGAAGATTAGGTGACAGAGTCAGCTAAGCCATGTGTGTTTCAGTTTCGTTAACAATGAGTGTTCATAATTATGAAGAACCATAAAGGAAAGATTAAAAGTAAATTCTGCCTCTGTAACAGCTCTTGAATTAATTTCTCATTCTCTGTCCCATTGTAGTCGGCGTGTTGGGATTATTTCAAGAATTCCCAATCTCCCTGTCCCTGGTCCTATGTGCTCTACAAGTTTTTAAACAAAGTGCATCTTTTTTAAAATTTAATTTAAATTTTTTGTTTTTAGCTGAGCCATCCTGCCACCTGTTGGCAGCTCAGTGGCAGCTCAGCTCGGGCCGGGACTCAAACCGCTGTTGCTCAGAGCTCACACTCTTGAGTGAGCTGTTAACCAACTGAGCCACTCAGCCGGCCCTCAAGTTTACTTTTAAATTTAAACATAATTACTTGACTTAATAATTCTGAAGATAATTGTTCTCTCCCTTTTTCCATGAACAGTAAAATTAGCCTTAGGATGCGTTAGCCTTAATCACCCTTTCTCATCGTCTCCGTGGTCTCCTGCTTAGTTCTGCCTCTTTCCCCCTCCCCTCGTGACATTAAAAATGATGCTGTTTGGGCTGTTTGGTATGTTATACTGACAAATTACTGATATTGAATCATACCTGCATTCTGATTATATTTATGGTATTTTATTTAGATTTTTTAAATCCATATGTTTTTGGCTATATTTATTTGGATTTTGGTTTAGGTGTTTCTTTTTCTGGGGAGAGGGGCGGGATAGAGATGACTTTTTGACAGTTTGTGGTAATTTAGTTATAAAACCATTTGGACTTCGAACACTTTAACTTTAAAAAATTCTTACACCTCCTTTATTGGTTTTTACTGATTAATATCCTTTGTAAAGTAAGATTTAAATGGATTTCTTATTAAAACAGCTTTTGCCTTTTTTTCATATTCTTTATTTCCTATTCTGTCAGTGTTTTTCAACTAAGTACTGAGTTTATTATATCTTTTCTTTTTAAGTAATGACTAATTTAAAACACTGAAATTATCTGAATACTGCTTTGTCAATTTCTACGTTTTTTTATATGTAATGTCTTGTTTTTTCTTTAATGTATTTTAAGTTTTGGGGTTTTTAAAAAGATTTTATTGGGGAATTGGAGGAGGAGAACATTGTTGGGGAATTGGGGAAGGGGAACAGCCAAGTTGTTGTCCTTCAGTCTTAGTTGTGGAGGGTGCAGCTAGTTCAGCTTCAAGTCTAGTCGCCATCTGGCTTCCCGTCGGCAGTTCTTGGCCGCTCATCTCAAGGTGTCGTGTTCAACCTTAGTTGCAGGGAGGTGCAGCCCACCATCCCATGTGGGAGTCGAACCAGCAACCTTGTTGTTAGCACGTGCTCTCACCCCCGAGCTATCCTGCTACCTGTTGGCAGCTCAGCTCCGTCACAGCTCACTGGCCCATGTGGGAATCGAACCAGCAACCCTGTTGCTCAGAGCTGGAGCTCTTAACCAGCTGAGCCACTCGGACGGCCCCTGTATTTTAATTTTTTGACTCATTTCTATTTCTTATATATGAGACTTCAAAAAATTTAAAAGCATTTTTTTTTAATTGCATTGTGTCAAAGAATCTCATGACTTAGGACTTACCATGACTCTTATGTTTATTTTACTTTACTGAAATATTTATAAGTTAAATTTCATTACACTTGTAAGTTGGATATAGTTGGATCGTGCTTAATATTTAGAATTTCTTCCTTTGAGTGATTTGTAGGGGTGTGCATCCCTTGCTTAAACATACACGTGTCTTGGCATCACTCCTTCATTTCATTAGATATAGAGGTTTATAACCTGGTGTGTGAATTTTGAAAAGACCCCATTAGGTGGTCAAAAACCACTACTGTAGACAGAGGGAGTCATGTGAAGTTCAGCCAAAAGAGGGACAAAGCCCAAGATGTAGAGTTCTGTGACACAAATATATTAACCTGGGCCTGTCCTCATACACGGGTATAAGACACGTCTGGATTTGAGGGGGAAATGACTATATAGTATGTTATTATCTAATATAAAATGTTAGAAAAGTTAGCTACATTATTTTATTTTGTGTACCTTCGACTTTTGCTTTATATTGAGTTTAATTCTCAGCTGTAAAATTTAGCATTTAACCGTGTGTATCTATTTCTTTGTCTGTAGGCCTCGAAGTAGAGGAAAAGCTACAGTGGAAGATGAGGACAGCATGGATGGGCTGGAGACAACAGAAACAGAAAATATTGTGGAAACAGGTATCAAAACAATGAAAAAAAAATGTACACGATAATTTGCACATTTAGCATCTGTATATATACTGAGTTAGGAAATTTCTATCTGCTGAAATGGTTTGATAAGTCATGACAAAGTGAAAAACTGAGTTCTTTCTTTTGTCCCCCTACAGCCCTGATTTAGAAGAGATTATTTAGTATCTAGAGAAATGTTTTATTAAAGCAAATTAACTGGAATAAACAGTAATCGCAGGCCATAAATATGACAGCTCATAGTATTTCTCTGGCTTATGAACCATCTAGTGTTTGTTTAAGGCTTATTGTGTTATTAAGCATGTGAGGAAAAAAATAAGTTTCATTAGCGAATAATATTGTAAGATGCTGGGTTAAATCAGACCGAACAACTTTCTGGTCTGCTGGACCGGTAGGTGCCTTAAGAAAGCTAATGTGTATTGTGGATCTGCAAAAGGTAGGTAGAGTAGGTTGCCCAAAGTAGTTTCCAAAATTTACACAAAGCTAGTGATTTAGTAAGTTGTCGAAGGCTCGAAGGTCATATTTGGGTGAGATGGTCTGTCACTGAAAATATTTTTAGCAGCCGTTAGAATTTAAACGTGGGGACAGGCTTTTTCTCTGAAGTTGGATCGCCTGCATCCTGAACCTCTTTGTCATCCTCCTGCTCTTTTGCTTTCATGACGACACCCAAATTCTGTATCTTAGTAGGTGAAAATGGCTGGGGACTAGTTTCATTTTAAATTTATGATCTCCAGTCTCAAGCGGGTCATGATAGCTGCCCACCAGTCTTTCTACTTTTGCTTAGAAATTATCCCATTTTCAGTGAAGGTTCTTTCACTACCTTCTTTTCTCTCTTCAGATTTCTAACACTTCCTCAACCATTTTGCATTCTTCAGTCAATGAATGGTCTTATTTATTTACTTCAATGAAAAAAGACAAAATAGAAGCAGCCAGGAAAGAAATTCCGCATTCACCCCCATCACATCTTCCTGCTTTCATCTCTAGCCATACGTTCTACCTCCTCTGCTGTCGGAGGGGATGAGACCTGGCTGTGGCTGTTGGAGCAGGCCCCTCCTGCACTGTGCCCGGGAGTCTGTGCCATTCATTTCTCATGGAGCTGCACCTTCAGCTTTCCCTGAATTTCCCCTCAGTGAGCCATTTCCATTAGCATTTGACCAGGCCAAAGTGCCGCCGATAAACACAAATAGCTTCTCTTGATCAGACACCCCTTTTCAACCACCCCGTGCCTGCTGCGCTCATTTTTATAGCAAAATCCTTGGAAGAATTGCCCATACTTATGGTTCTTACTTATTTTTTACCATTTTCTAATGAACCTACTTCAACCAGGCTTTCTTGCTCCTACTCTACTGAAATTGTTCTTGTCGACGTCACCCAGGACCTCATGTTGCCAAGCCCAGCTTTTAGTCTCTGTCCACCTGAACTATTCAGTATCATTTCATGCAGCTAACCTCTTTCAGGAGCGAAGCTCTTTTTTTTTTTAAACTTGATTTTTTAGGACACCACATTCTCTTGGGTTTTTGCTACCTCGCTGGTTTCTCTTTTATTTTCTTGTGCTCATTCACTCATACATTAGGGGGTCTCATTCAGTTTAGTTGTTTTAAATATTACCTGTGTGCTGGTGACTGTAGGAATTATATTACTAGCTCTTTTCTTGCTTTGAACACAACCTCTGTCTTCAGCTTTCTTCTTAACACCTCCTAGGTGTCTAAAACGGATCTCAAACTTAATGTGTCCTCTGTGGAACTATTTATTATCCTGAAAACGCCTCTTCTTCCAGTGTTCCCGCCTCAGGAACACTCAGGCTGAACATACAGCCCTGTGCCACATAATGACATTTGGTCCCTGACAGACGGCATATGTGATGGCGGTCCCATAAGATTATAATGGAGCGGAACGATTCCTGTCACTTAATGACGTCATAGCCCTCATGACATTGTGGGGTGACGTATGACTCATGGGTTTGTGGCGATGCTGATGTGAACAAACCTCCTGTGCTGCCAGTCCTATAAAAGGGTGGCACATACCCTTACAGTAGTAGGCGACACCATCTAGGTTTGCTTTCAGTTTGTAAATAAATGCACCATCTGTGAAGCACAATCAAGTGAAGTGCCACAAAACGCGGAGTGCCTTCCGCACTAGGAAGGAACCTTCTGGAAGTCGGGGATTTGTCTGGTTCATGATTCATTTATTCTCAGTGCCTAGAATACTTCCAGACCCACAGTAGGCGTCAGCTCACTGATTGAAGCCGTATTGCATTCTGTTTCTTGTCTGTTTTTTAAGCTACTGCTGCTTAAAAAACATCATCACCACAAAACTAAAATTCTAAAGTTTAACTTTTTCTTACCTGAAGAGTAGTAGCCCCACAAACAGACTGTCTTCACACACTACCTCCTCTGAGACGTCAAGACAAATAGGTTGCTGAAAGGTTTTAACAGGAGCAAGTGATATATATATGTATAGTTCTCTCCTGGCCTTTTCTACTAAAGTTAAGTAAAGCCGAGTGTGTTAGTCTTTGCTCTATCTTTGTCCTTGAAAAGACCTTTGTCCAGCTCTTTTACTGAACACAGAGCAAGCAGAATAGTAACGAAAAGAATAAAGAACAATTAAAACTATCAACCTGCAAGTCAACCCAAGTAGAGTTCCCTGAATTTTTAGTGAATTTAAAAGCACACTTGAGTCGGTGGCAAGGCTTTAACATCTCTGTGTGTCCCAAGGCCCAGGGTTGTTGGAAGGGCTCTTATTCCTATAAATTCCATGTCTTGACACATTTCTTTAATGGTCTGTGGTAATAGAAGGGTATTTATTAAAATGAGCACTCTTTAGGGAGTGTGTCGTGTGTGGGTGTAAGTGGTGGAAATGAGCATTTTACTAGTGGTTATTGGGAAAGGAGCAAGACATTCATGGATCCGTTTGTTAAGCTTTGATGGCGAGAAAGTCCTGTGCTCCTTTTGGAGGTGCTGGCTGGTAACCAGCGCTGTGCGTTTCCCTTATTGAATAAAATCAACTCGAATGAAGTGCTAGTTACTTGAGAAGAGGAATTCCACTATTCTTTGAGAATCATCATATAATCAGGGCCTTGTTTTAGTTAATTGTAATTGGTTAATTATGACTTAGCTAATTAAAATTTTTCTTTTTACTGTTTGTCAAAGGGTGGGTAGTGGGATCCCCTTCTCGGCTGACATCTGAGCCCTTCTCGGTATGGCCTCTAAATGTCTCGAAGCTCCTTGCCCTTTGGCAGCTGTGTTTTCAGGCCTGCCTTTAATTCTCTGCCCCAGCACATGAAATCGGCCACTCTCTAAGGACTCCTAGTTCTTTTTCGTGGAGGGAATGGTATTAGAGATAAAAATCTAGGCTCTAGGGATGAGCATCATGTTGTTTTTATTGAGAATTAGTTACGTTATTTCATTTTAGGGATATATTGGTTATTACATAGCTAGGAGAGTGTATACACGTACTTACAAACCTTGATACTTTCAGTTTACCTCTAGCATAATTTTAAAAAATAGACTTCAGGTTTTAGAGCAGCAACATTGAGTGGATGGTACAGAGAATCCCCATATACCCCCTGTCCCCCACACTTACACAGCCTCCCCCGTTATCAGCACCCCCCCCACACCAGCCTGGTACATTTGTTACAGTTGAATCTATGTTGACACATCATTATCACCCTGAGTCCATAGTTTACTTTAGGGTTCACTCTTGGTACTGTGCAGTCTGTGGGTTTGGACAAATGTATAATGACATGTGTCCATCATTACAGGATCATAGAGGATTGTCGCTGCCCTAAAAATCCTCTGTGCTCAGCTGTTCATCCTTTTCCAGCCCCTAAACCCCCAGCAGCAGCTGACCTTTCACTGTCTCCATAGTTTTGCCTTTTCCAGAAGGTCGCGCAGGTAGAATCCTGCAGTATGTAGCATTTTCAGATTGGTTTCTTTCACTTAGTCATACACGTTTAAGGTTCCTTTCATGGCTTGATAGCTCATTTCTTTTTATTGCTGAATAATATTCTATTGTACCTATGTACAAGAGTTTGTTTTCTAAGTTTTGACGATTATGAATAAAGTGGCCATAAACATTCTGTGCAGGTTTCTGTGTGGACATAAGTTTTCAGCTCCTTTGGATAAAGCAAGGAGCATGATTGCTGGGTCGTATGATGAGTGTCTGTTTAATTTTGTGAGAAACCGCCAAACTGCCTCCCAAAGTGGCCGTACCCTTTTGCACCCCACCAGCAGTGACGGAGAGTTCCTGTGGCTCCACAGCCTCGCCAGCATTTGGTGGTGTCGGTGGTTTGGATTTTAGCCATTCTAAGAGGTGTGTGGTGGTATCTCAATGTTTTAGTTTGCATTTCCATGGTAACATATAATGTGGAACATCTTTTTATGAGCTCATTTGCCTTCTGTATATCTTCTCTGATGAGGTACCTGTTAAAGTCTTTGGCCCACTTTTAAATCAGGTTGTTTTTTTTTTTTTTTTTTTTTTTTTTTTAGCTGAGCCATCCTGCTACCTGTTGGCAGCTCAGCGGCTGCTCAGCTCGGGCTGGACTCGAACCGNGGCTGCTCAGCTCGGGCTGGACTCGAACCGCTGTTGCTCAGAGCTCAAACTCTTGAGCGAGCTCTTAACCAACTGAGCCACTCGGCTGGCCCATGGTTGTTTATTTTTTTATTGTTGAGTTTTTTTTGTATTTTTTGGATAACAGTCCTTATCAGATATGTCTTTTGTAAATTATTTTCTCTCATTTCCCTTGACAGTGTTTTTTACAGAAAAGAAATTTTTAATTTTAATGCAGTCTAGTTTATCAGTTATTTCTTTTATGTATCATGCCTTTAGTGTTATATCTAAAAAGTCAGTGCCAGGGCCGGCCGAGTGGCGCATTGGTTAAGAACTGGTTTGGGATGCCAGAGGACCCCGGTTCGGATCCCATATATGAGGGCCAGTGACACTGCCCTCTATAGCTAAGATGCTGAACAACAGCTCGACCTGGAGCTGGACTG